GCTTAGAGAATATGTGGCTGTTATGTACATAAACTTATATATAGAACCCTCCAAACTATGTAGTTTTGATCCATATATATCCAAACTAATCATGATATCTCGTTCAATATTCTTCCTTAATCATGTGACTTATTAAACCGATCAAATTTATGTTCTTTTTCTTCATTGTGTCTAAGAACTTAAAGCATTAAAAGTCATGACCATTTAATCAACCCTACTAAATTTTGAATGAAAACTAATTGAATAAAAGATAAAAGAAGAACATGCAATAATTCAATCATGCTTTTCACAAATCATTCGATATAGTTTTCAATTGAAGGACAAAACATTTGAGTTATATTCGTTAAAAAGTATTTATTTTTTACTTTCCCTATAAACTTCATTGATGTTTTGCAATAAAAAGATATATAATTGATCTTTTTGATTTCACAATTTAACTTAATTCAATGGTATTTTATTAAAACAAAATTAAGAGACAAATGAAACCGTATTTGGTTTGTTTAAAACTACGTCATTTAAAAGGTTCTATACCTAAGCTTAGGTACATAACAACCACATATTCACTTTTCCCATATATATATATATTATATATATATATATATATATATATATATATATATATATATATATATATATTAGGTCATAACCCGTGTACTACACGGTTGACAAATTAAAATAACATAGATAATAATAAAAAACATAATATATATTTTTGTTCGTGGGAAAAAATGATAACAACGATCAAATTGAACAAAATGTCAAAATGATCATTTTATTAATTTAAGGAAAAATAAGTTTTGTGCACTAAAAGTGTTTCATATAGAATTGTCAAAAAAGAAGAAAAATATACATGAAATAATAAATAAGTTACATGTAGAGGTGGTTAGTTACTTTAAGTAATTCAATTTAAGAGGTTGTTAGGTATAAATATTCTAATACATTTTTACTCACCTTTAACTTCTTAAGTTGTAATGAAATTTAACATGTTGTAACACATTTCGAGGTTAATATTACCGGTTAATTTTATTTATTTATTAAAGACACACTATGTTTTTTACAAGGAGAAAGGGTGACAAATTGAGTAAATAAGTAATTGTATCAAACAACTTCTTTAATTCCACTCAAACAAATTGGCTTAAACAGATACATCATCCGATTAAAAAGCTTTACTTTTAGCTAAACCTAAAACAAAATGAAAAAAATCAAAACGATATCATCAATAAACTATCTAATTGATCTAAACACATACTAACAAACACAACTCCAAGTTTTGAGCTTAGAACAAAAATTATCACAACCTGTTGCCTTTTCTAGTATAAAAGCAACTCAAAAAAAGACACAAAGAAGCTTTAACAGACCAAGAAGACAGACAATATGAAACAACAAAAAGACTTTACTTAGAGATGAAAAGCGACGAGAAACAGTTTAAATGTAAAAAGGATTACATGCTCTTTCATGTCACTTAACCACTAAGACATGTCTTTTAAGTATAGATTGCATCCTTTTTCACAAATTGACAAATTCATGTAGACTTAAACAAATGTAGATAAAGGGTATAAACATAAAACTTGGTAAAGTACAATGTCGTTTATGTTGAAAAAAATATAATGTTCTTTTGAGTTTTTTAAGGTATGATGCTATAATAAATAAATTTCAAAGTATAATGTCTTTTAAGAAACTATAAAGGTTTGACAATAGCACCACACTAAAGTTATTTTTAAGTTTTCTTGTTCAAAGTAACATTGAAGTGAAATACTAATTCACCTTCCATGAATGGTCTTCTGTGTTGTTGTTAGAGGTGAACATGAACACCATGACACCAAAGAAATTACTCAGATTCACATGCTTTCCTATATCATTTTCCTGAATCAAATTACAAAGATTAGTGTTAAAACTCATATCAATGTTGTTTTGAATATTTGATTCATGGGCACAAATAAGGTTAATAGAAAAAGAAAAGGTTTTATTTACCTTAGGGCCTTTGGATGTTTGATTCATGAGTACTCAATCACATCACTAATATTACACATGCCAACATATAAGATATAAAATCTTTAAATAAACTGAATCCATGTGAAACTATGATAGAATGCCAGATCGTACTATCATATTCATGGCACAACATAACCACACTTCTAATTGTACATAACCAATTCTTTTTTAAAAACTTTGTACAATCCAAAAATCCAAATAGATTTCGGATCACCTAGTGTTTCCCCAACAAAAATCGCAAGTCATGTTGTAAATCATCGTGTTCCTACAACTTTACAAAAAAAATGATAATAAAGCATATGTAACTTTGAGACGATTGTTTTATATACAAGGTAATGACAACAAATAATTAATAAGCCAAATTATAAGGAAATAAATTATATAGAACCCAATATTAGAAAATGTACTTACAAAACACCAAATAGGGTTGGTCCGGGTAGCAAGCATAGGTATCCGAAGAGTTGACTCGCCTTGAGAAAAGGATTAGTCGTGACCAACCATGGCATAGACCGGGACAAATAGTTATGGAAGTGAGGCAAAAATGTCTTTGGGGTTCCTTGGTACTTGATGATGTAAGAATTTATTGGCTTCTTCCACCTATATGGACATATGGTAGCCACAGATAGAATAAAAAGTGCCAAACTACTCAACTATATAACTTAAGAGAAAATATACATGATCCAATAAAAAACACTTGCTCTTCAATATCTAGTATTGTGGAAGATAAACTCAAGCCCGTATTGAGCCCTAACAATAGTACCAGCAACAACAGAGAATAGATGCTCCAATAAAGTTGCACCAAAATATTATTGGAGGAGTTCACAATCAGAAAACAAAACATAAAAATGAATTATAAACCTACTCCTTTGGTCCCTAAAAGGAGTTTGTTTCAAACGTATAGATCAATTGTGTAAAGAAACAATCACAATCGATTGTATTTCAGCAAGCTAAGACCTATAAATCAAAGGAAGAAAAGACAAAGATGAAGCAGTCTAGCCAAGAAAGAAGACGTATGAGAAATAAAGTACCACTTTTATTCAATTTCCCGTGGAGGTTGTGGATAAATGATCGATTAGGATTTAGTAGATGCCAATCACAAAAAAAACCCTAGAGAATACATCGTCTCATATATAGGAAGGCGAGAGAAGATCTCAGTCAAAATTATACTCCTGATTTCTTGCTATAACCTTGATTTGTGGAAATTTTATTGCTGGTTTTATGGGATACTTAATAATAAAAAACAAAGATCAGGCATAACTTTACATAATGAGAAGTGTGAGCGGGAAACCAAAATTTAGATTAACAAAAAGATGACACATGGCAGAAGTTTGGTGTAAAAAGGCGCCATGTGGCAATTTATGTTTCATGTATTAGAATATATATATATATATATATATATATATATATATATATATTATATATATATATATATAGGTTCTTATGTGCCTATAAATACACTTGAAACACATATAACAACATGTGTGTTTTGTTTTTGTATTTTAAAAGTTACGCGTTACAAAAAAATTGACATTGTGTTAAAGAAACAAGCTTAAGAAGGCATGTTAAAATATTGACAAAATTGTAAGAATGGTCCTGTGGTATGTCAAAACTCGTATGTTAGGGCCAAAAAAGTTTGGACTCGCATCAGTGGTCCAATAGTTTGATTTTGTTGCGAGTTTGGTACAAAGTGTTTTTTTACTTTTTTATAATGATGGATTTGCCCTTAATATTTTATCTTTTTCAATTATTTTATTATAGAAATAAAAAAAGAAAAAATACCCACCTCTCTCTCTCTCTCCATTCCTCTCTTTTTTTCTCTCTCTTTCTTTCTTTCTCTCTCTTTTTTTCTCTTTCTCTCTCTCTCTCTCTCTCTCTCTCTTTTCGGGTTTGTGTTTGATGAACATACTCATAGATTTAAGAGCACTCAAGAACATCTTCCGCCACCACCACCACAGTACCACCGTCTGTCATGTCCATTTCCACAAAAACTTATTCTGCCACTTCATCCCCACAAAAAATCACACGAGAAACAAAATCAGATCTGGTGAACACACACAAAATCAAATCAGATGAACACACACATACACACGCAATCAGATGAACGCACACATACACACGCAATCAGATGAACACACACACACACCCATGAAATTAGATAAACACACACTCATACAAAATCCGATGATCTCACACACAAAATCTAATGAACACACACCCACACGAAATCAGATGAACACACACACACATACATACAAAATCTGATGAACATACAAAACCCAGATGTAAGGGTGAGGGCAGCAACGCTAGAAAAGAAGAGAAAACTGGCAAAAAAAAAGAGATGACAGATCCTCGAGCCACATCTATGAAAATCGAGCCATAGATTTGAATAGATCTGAAGCCGATGAGTATGGTGAACAAATTTGTTTCGTCTCCTGGTACAAACTCATAGCTCGATGTTGCCGTCGGAGAAGGAGGGAAACGAAGCCGTCGCTGTGGATGAGGTCGAGTTCAATGCCACCACATAATCGTTTGGGAGGGAGGATGGCAGATCGTCGGCGTCTTCGGAGATGGAACAAGACGAAGCCGACGATGTTCCATCTCAGGCGGTGGTGACTCCGGTAGAGAGGGAGTTGGGTGGGGTAGGGTTAATCAGAAAGATACAAATTTAATAAAAATAAAAGGGAAAACCAAATGGAGAGGGCAAAAAGGTCATTAACACACTTTCAATTATGAAACAGACCAAACTCGCAACAAAATCAAACTATTGGATCCCCGGTGCGAGTTCAAACTTTTTTGGCTAAAACATGCGAGTTTTGACATACCACATGGACCATTCTTGCAATTTTGTCTAAAGTATTCGCCAACAAAATTTTGAAAAAATTTACAAGCCAAATTTTACATAAATGAACATGATTACAAAGTTTTATTGCATCCAAAACAAAAACGTTTTTTTTTGCATCTAAAGGAAGATAGAAGGGTGTGTTATGTACTCTTTGTTAAAGTTTAGTATCGTACATGCATTTGAAGCGAACGTACATATTTGGAACGAAGCAAATTGATCACCTGCTGTGCGTATCTACTCTCTCGACTCCGACGTAAGAAAACTCTAGAGATAATACGAGATTTGAAGGAGAAAGAAGAACTATTACGTAGAGATGACAGGTAATTCCTTAGAATTCCATTTGAGATATAATTTTAAATATCAAGATAATCTAGGTTTCCTCTTTTGAAAAAAGTTATAAATTCTGTAACATTTGGTTTGTGTTATTGGAAGCTCGATCGGCCCAAAATAGTTTCGCTAAAATTTAATCGATATAAGTATGATTTGTAACCTTACCGTTCTCGATGGCGTTGTATGTTTGTATCTTAATTTTTCGATGATATGACAGTGATTAAAGTAAAGTTGAGCTGATTTTGGGGAAATTAAGACTATCATCAGCATCTCTATCCGATTAGTTTATATGAATTGTTAAGATTACTGTTAGCAATAAGTGTAGGCCTTATATTACCATAATCATATGCATATGTTCTGTTTATCAAACTAGAGATATTTTGGATTCATTTTGAACTTGATTGCCAACAAAAACAGAGAAAAAGAGCAGGAAATAAGATATATTCATGGATTTATGCACACTAACACACTAAAACGTGCATCATACATCATTTGTAACAATGGATGCTTTGAAGTTTGAGCATATTAAACCTGATCTTGCATAAGTGAACTAAATGAACTACATGAATGGTTTCTATTGGTTGAAAAGATGGAGTTCAAATTTGATAAAAACTATTGATTTTGGATGTGGAAGACACTCATCATTAAGTAGCTTTAGGGCATCATGAACATCATCAAGGCCCATGAGCTCTTTATTGAAATGCTTATGACAGATCATGTGCAAGAGCAGGAGATGGAAATTGAAGCCCTAAAGGCCATCCTAATGGATGATTTTGAAGGTTTGTGCAATAACTCTCTTCGTTTTATAAAATAATCAATCATCGTTAACTTTAAAAATCAAACATGTCTGTGTACTCCAGAACTTCACCCTAGTGAAAGTGGATTAAACACTTCAAATCGATGTTTTCTAATTAAGTTATCTCTTCAGGTAATAATTACATACCAACAATTCCTTATATTTCTTCTTCAAAATATATTATATATTAGAACTAAATATGTTATTATTGTCTATGTAACAGGATGATGAGACTGATGAATCTTCAACAAGTCCAGGTCTTACACCAGACATCATTTTTTCAGGTTTACTACTCAAAGATGCTTACATTATTAAAACCCAATTTGCTATTTTCTTTTTTGCAGTTCAATTGGGGTTAATTTTTTCACACACTGAGAAATATCCAGATGAAATTCCACTTTTGAATTTGAAAAGGTGTCTCACTACATCTTTCTTGATCTTACACTTTGACACATTGTTATAGATAAATGTTTTATTAACCCAAACAGTTAACCTATTTCAGTATTAAAGGAATCCCAGCATCAGATCTCAAAGTTTTAAAAGAAAAGCTTGAACAAGAGGTAAATTTAATTGCTATAAATTCTAACAGCAGTATTTAATTGCCACTTTTTTTTTTTGCAAATCCCAATATAGCTCTGATACAATTTCCTGTGGGTATGTTTTTAGCTTCATTGAATTGAGTAAGAGTAAACTAATTAGTTCAGAACTTCATGACCCAACAGACAAGCTTCAAGATGAGTTAAGTAACACTATATACAAAAATCTATTATATATGCATACATATAAAAATCAAATGAAACTTTATTTTTTCATTAATCGACATTCGTTTAGTATTATTCACTTATCCCATAATAATGTTATTATTATTCACCTCATGCAACTACTACTCATTTAAAATTGATTTTTTCAGGCATCAGAAAATCTTGGAATGGCTATGATTTACACTCTAGTTACATCAGCTAAAGAGTGGTTTGCTGAAAGATTTGATCAAGACACTGACAATGACAACATCAAAGAGGAAACAGCAAATAAGGATGAAGTATGATTTTGAATATATTACAACAAACTAAATTACAAATTTGGTCCCTGTACTTTACTCAAATCTCTAGTTTGGTCCAATTTAAGATTGGTAGTTCATTGTTAGCGAGACTAAATCCGCAACGAAATGCAAACGTAAGGACGACTTTAAAAATCGGACCAAACTTGCCGTTTTGAGTAACGCACAGGGACCAAATTTATAATTTACTTTATGTTAAAATTTCATTTGCAATTTGGGTTTTTTATATAATTGTTAAGTTTGATGGGTGAACTTGGTGTTAGATAATTGTGCCACGTGGAGAACCTGTCACTGTTGAAACATTTTTGGCATGGAGAGAAAAAATTGAAGCAGAAGTAGCCCTTGAGAGAGCCAAGTAAGTAACAGATTTTATTTATTTTCCAAAATTTATATGATTATTAATTACTACCCTTCGACTTTCAGGGTATTGCCAGAATCAGCCCTTGCAACAACCAAAGAAAAGAAACTCACTGGAAGACAGTGGTTTCAAAGTGGAAAAGCTTCTGCAGTAAGTTCTTCTGTTTATGTTTCAATCAAGTCACTCCGTCACCATGCTGACGTGGCACTGATGACTTCAATGCAATGACATGACATTGACATAGGTTTTATATTGTTACTTTTGGCAGAGACATGCAGCACCAATCATGGAAGGATCTAATGATGAAGAGGAAGATGATGATTTTGATGATGATTCTGAAGGTTTGTTTTCTCACTATTTTTTTTTTCTTTCTATTTAAATACTTGTCAATATATGGAATTTATTTTGAATATAATCTCTGTTTGGGTGCAGATGATGAGGAGGATATGCTGGATCATTATCTAGCTGAGAAATTTGACTCATCGAATAATTAGTAATTATTCAGCAAGAGCTACTTAGATAAAATTGTTACTTTCTGATCGACCACAATAATTCTAATTATTACCCAATAAGTGGTTTGTGAAAAGTTTAAAAAGATTTGTCTGCTTGGTTGTATAAAATTTAATGACACAAGAATAAATTGATCAGTGTAATATCAAAAACACATACTTCGATATTTATAAGAGCTAGCAATTCAACTAATTTGTTTATAAATTGATCGTTTTGAGATTACTTTTATAGTTCTCCATTCAAAAAAGTAGTTGAATAGGCCAAAGTGAGCTAAAAAAAACAAAGCATATCTCTGATGCATGATGCATACAAGCTCCAAGTTTGACTTATAAAACACAAAATTATGTATATATTAGACCATTGAGTGCGGGCACGTTAATGTCGATGTGCCTGCACCTTAACGCCGTGAACATCCCCCCCCCCCCCCCCCCCTATGTGATGCTCTGTGGCGGTGGTAACGAGATGCAACAGACGTTTCTTCTCCAATTCCTATAACCCTGTCATCCGTTTTTCTTCTTTAATTTACCTCACAAAGGCGTTGTGAGCTTGGAACACCATCCCTGAAAAAAGGTGGTGAAATGATGAAGAGGGTTTATGCCTATGCAGCCTTTCAACGGCGTTTTTTTTGTTGCCCATACAGTGCTGCCTTAATTTGCAAAATATGTCTGTGAGGGAATTTTATTGTTCATTTCAAATTAATTTTCAGCCGTTGGATATGAGAGAGTGTGGCCTTGTGGGCAAGTGGTAAGCAAAAATTTGACCCAATTTCTCAAAAGACAACTAGTTACCTTCACAACATATATTATATTTTATTTTTATACAATTTCTTTTACTTCCACTTTCTTATTTCTACTATGACTTTTATTATTCCTCACCAAAATTTCATTTGTTTTTACATTTTTTACCTCGAACTAATTATAAAGTTAAAGTAATGGTATCTTATAAGTTATGATTTTGGTCCCCTACTATATTTTAAAGTTACGTTTTTGGTTTCTTACATAATTGTTTTTTTATAATTTTCGTTTTTATTAATATTAATATTACTTTTATCTTTATAATTTCTTAAGTAATTATCATTTGTGTAATGTACCAATCAAAATACAATTTCAAAAATTATTTTTACCCGCATCCTCCATATATGATTGTTTCGATCAAAATTTTATTTTATATATTTGTGGTTCACTTTGCAAAGATGTTCTAAGCTGCAACGAGTGGGGTGAGAGAATACTAGTTAAATTATAATTACAATAATATTTATTGACTAATATTTAATAACTGAAAGTTAACTATTAAAACATTTACACATCCTATTAATATTTATTATTTTGGCATGTCTAAAGCGTGAGTAACCTTTAAAAGACTTAATATTTTTATCATATTATTTTTCTACAAATATTTTTATCAAAGACCTGTCTGTAAATAACCTAATTTATCATCATCTCATCTAATTTATCGTTTTAAAATACATATAATTTACCTTATCTATTATTACAAAATTACTTCATACATTTATTTTTATATATGATAAAATAGGTTAACTAGTAAAAAAATTAATAATAATATAAAATAAAATACTATTGAATATATAAAAGAATTTAAAGAAACAAGTGCTAGAGATTTATAAATGATTTGAATAACCGATAAAAAGCAACATATTATAATGATAAAAAGACTTTATAATAATCTATAAAATAACAAAAAACTATAAAATTAATACTGGGCCTTATTGGATTCGGCCACACTAAAATATAAGTTAAATGGGTTGAGACAATATGATATTTTAAATGGAAAATTCGTTATGCGTAGTATAAACCATAAAGGCCCAGGAAACCGAGGGTTCCGCTTCCATCCTCGCCGTAAAAATCAGTGCCTCCGGCTCCGGCGGTCTTGCGTGCTTTCAACGCTTCGTCACTTCTCAGTCCTCCGTCTTCCGCCATTTTCGTACCTGTAACGCTTAACCTGTACAGGTATGACGGAATAACATTTTTCAGTCTTTCTCTGTTTGTCTGTCTGACCCTCTTGATAACTTTCTCTGGTCGTAGTGACTGAAGAACATTTTTCATTTTTTCATTCTTTCTCTGTTTGACGTAAGAAATCTTCATTCCGTTTTTTAATCGTGAATATCATATCAATCGATAGGAAGATGACAGGTGTTAGTTTATCGTTGTTGTTGACGATGCTCACCTCTGCGTTTGCAACTTTAGTTGATCGCTTCGATAAGTGTAATCTAATAGATTAGTCACTAATCACTTTAACTTTGTTATGCTTCATGCCTCTTTGTATGATTCATGGTGACTTGTAAATTGATTTTCATTAATCTTACGATGTCAATCACGTTCATGACTTAGGGCTAGTTTCTGGTAATTTCGGTAAATTTATTCATAGTTGCTAATCGTTTTATAATAGTACAATAACACGTTGAAGAATGGTGTGATTTCCAGAAAATCATATCTCGGTGAATATATTATTCTAAAAAGTTGAAGCAATCAATGTCTACACCGGAAGGAGAAGAGATCACAACAGTTTTCAGAGTGATGAAAACATGTTACGAGATGCTGAAAGACCGTGGCTACGAAGTTGAAGATTCAGAGATAAACATGACGAGAAAGGAATTCATTGAGAAGCACAACGGCACCATTAGAAGAGAAGAGCTTGCTTTCACCAAGTCCAAACCAAACAACACCGAACCAGTGAGCCTTTTGATTGCGTTGTATATTTCAATCTTCAAAGATGGAGATGATGAATGTTTTTGGTATATGATGCTTTTCAGATCTATGTTTTCTTTCCAAATGAGCTGAAGATTGGTGTGAAGGTAATCAAGGCGTATATGTTTCTTATGAGAGATGAGAACATTCATAGAGCAATCATAGTGGTTCGACATGGTATGACTCCCTCAGCCAAGGCATGTCAAGCGGAGATTGCAGGAATGTACCAAATGGATGTTTTTCAGGTCATTATCATGATTATAATATGCATATTTCCATATTGGATTCAATTGGATAGATAATATTTATTTTAATGGAGTGTGTTTTTGATACATATTGTTACAGGAGGGTGAGTTGTTGGTGAACATTAGATATCATTACCTTGTTCCTGAACATATCCCACTTACCAAAGAAGAAAAAAAGGAATTGCTGGATAGATACACTGTCAAAGAAGCACAGGTGAGTTATTCATTATTCTTGTCCACAAATGAATATGAATATTTGATTTGAGTGATTTGTGATTCTATTCCATATTATGGAATTGGTTATTGCAGCTACCTCGGATTTTGCATACAGATCCAATTGCAAAATATTACGGGTTAAGGCGAGGACAGGTTGTTAAAATTCTGAGACCCATTGAGACGGGAACAAGTGAGAAAGACAAGGATGCTTTTGATTCGAACAAAAAAGACCCTAAACAAGAGATCTGTTATGTCACATACAGAATGGTTGCCTAATTCCAATTCCAACCCTTAAAAAATAGCTTCCCGTCGTTTTGTTTTTAGGTGAATAGGTTAAAATATAGCTTTTGGTTTTAATGGTATGTCTATGTGAGAGTTGAGTTGAGTTGAGTTGACTTGACATAATAATAAGTTTGAAAATGACTTGAGAAGCGGATTTGGGCGTAAGTAATAACTATTATCATTAATACCCCAACTCAAATATGTTGGGCCCAAACGCATGTGAGTTGAGAGGCCTACATGCCTTACTGTAGTTAGTGTCGACTGTGGTCCATCAATTCACTCCCCTCATGTCATGCATGGGCTGTGGGCCTGTTCTGTGATATGCCTCTTAGAGGCTCTTACCCCCTCTGACTGGATTAGGTTTCTGGTTTTACCGACTCTTTTGATATGTCCCTCTTACTCGGTTAGATTCAATCATATCTGACTCAATCGACAACTATCAAACATTCTCTAATACATTAAGCAATTTTTCTTTGGCTTAACCTATTAATTCGTTTTACCCGGATTAAATAAAAAAACCACCATATATAGTTTTCCAGCTTAAGTACATAACTTGCTAACTCCATTAAGTAAATGAAAGTTGGATATACAGTATGTGCTACCATACTTACACATGTAATTTTTCAGATTCAGTTGAGTTCAACATTTCTTAGGCTAAATTTTTTATATGACTATTCATCAGCATATTACAAAGCTAAAAATTTCAACAGAATAATTGGTCACGAGCAAAACAAATATATAGTGTCTTTTATCGTTTAAAATAAGATCCGACTTTTTTTTTTCTTTGAACTTTGAGAAATAGGGTGTTGAATTGGCACTGTGGCAAGTCGTCTGTCTCTTTTTATTCATGGATGATCAATACAATAACAAGTATAGTAAGAAAATGTTATCACTGACTTTTAAAATAGAATAATTCAAGAAACATTCTTTTTATAGTAAGAAAATGATATCCGAACAATAATTACTTTAATATAGATGATTTTCAGCGACTTCAATACGCTTCTTTATTAGGTAAAGTTTGTCTTTGTAATTTAACTCAAATGAGTTGACCTAGTGATCCTTGGAAGTAAAACGTGGGTTGAAGAGAAAAACAACTTTAATACTTTTTAGTTTGTTTACTTCTTCCCAAAATAGTATTCTTTTTCCCATCTAAACTCCTAAAAAGGTCGGATTCCATGTAATAAACTCCTGATTTTCAGTAATTACCCTTCAAACATAATCAAACAAATGCAACAGGAAATTATTGTGCTATAATTATGAAAGTTGAAAATACCTTTTTTTTAATCAAGAAACCATAAAAACTAGATTCCTTGATCAAGTTCAGAACCGCTAAAAGAAATTCGGTGGTGAATGAATAATGTATTGATAAAACCTTCAATTACGTACATTGAAACTCTAACAAAAATAAAATAATAATTATGGATAGAAAAGGACATTAAAACTTTATCAAAACAAAATATATAAATGGATTTAAAAATATTTTATAACTAATAAAGATAAAATTCTGAAATTAGTATCATAAATTTACAGTTTGTCTAAATAAATAATATAATTACTTAAAACAAAAAGTATCTTTTATACCTGATTTTTTTTTAAATATAAATTCATAATAATATACATTTTGAAACCTTAGTTCGAATTTTTATAAAAATACTTCGAAAATATTATTACACAGAAAATTAGAGAACAATATTCCGGATATAACTTGACAACGTGGGTCCAAGTTTCGAAGGTGCTATTTTTTTTTTTTCTATCGATTTGGTATGTGCTATTTATATTCTTTTAGTTCGGCAAGTTTTTTTTATCATTATTTTTGTGTAAATTAGGGGCCTAAAAAACGTGTTACGAAATCATAGAACCGATCTATATACAATTATACATTATACCAACCAAAAAGAAACCGCTATACCAATCGATATAATAGGAAAAAGCCGATTCTTTGTCTGTTGTGGACCGGGTTTTTTATACATAATGGAATAATGTTGCTTAACTGAAGAGAGTAAATTAATATAAAAACTTAATTTAATGGAAGCTTGAACCTGGTGTGAAAATAGAAAGATCAGGCCAGCCATTCTCTCCCCGACTCCAACAGCTCGATTCTTCTCTCACTGCGTTCGGATTATTGCTACCATTCAATCTGACCAAAAAGTTGCTTCCAAAATCATCTGCAATCGGGTTTCGGATCAAAACATCATCATCGGATTTACTCGCCAGATTGGAACTCAAACCATCCATTAACAAATTCCCAAAAGGTCCCATATGATTTGATCCCAACACTGAACTCAAATTTCCACCATTAGATTCCAAATCCAGATTATTACCATATCCATAAACAACACATGATTGCTGTTTCTGTGGAAGTGGAGGTGCAGCGGCAGGTGTTGGTGGTAGAGGTGGTTGTTGCGTCGTCGGCGATGTGCGTTTGTTTGGATTTGAAGAGCGTTTGGTGGCTTTGCGGATGCCGCCACCGATCGGGATGTTACGCAGAGTGCCGCCTTTGGTCCAGTACCGTCGGCAGTTTTTACAGAAGTGACGAGGCTGTGAGAGATTGTAGTTGTTGTAATAACAGAATTTGGTGTTGCTGGAATTGCATCGAGGGCAATTGAGATGCTCATGCTCTGGAAACGGAGGATTCATATCCATCTGCGATGAAAACGTTGAAGGGTCTCGATGCATTGATTTTTGCTTCCTAAATCGAATCCGATGGAGTTTGAAGATAGGAAGCGGCGTGTAGTTGAAGTTCAGAGGAAGAAAACAGAACTGAAACAAAAACTGGACAAGTATCAATGGAAGAAGGAGCATAGTCCGCGTGAAAACGACGACCACCGCACGACACCACTCACTTCTCTTCATATATATATATATATATATATATATATATATATATATATATATGGTTGAGAACTTGTATATTAACGACAACTAAACGTGGAATGTTGGATCAAAATCAACTCATTAAGACATGATCATCATCTTACGAATCTCATTTAATATTTAATTTTGTGTTATTGGAAATATTAGTAAAAATGCCTAAAATTAACACAATAAATATAAATTTCGTACAAGAAGAAAGAAGTCATCACCTTAATTAAGAACATGTCAACAACTCACAATCTATGATATAAGTGTAAATGCATCTTCAATCACACACTAATGTTACACTATAAATTATACTATAAAATGCTTCAACCATACACTATACTTAACACTATATAAATTTTAATATAACACTATATATAGTGTTGGATTTTAGTATAATACTAAATATAGTGTTGAATAAAAACAATATACTTAGAATATTTTTTTTAGTGTTAAATATAATGTAATGAGTTAGAGGACTTTAATGTTTACACTATCTTTTACACTATAATTATAAATATAATATAAAAAAAATAATGGTAAGGATTAGAGATGATCTAATATATCAAAGAACTAAAATCGGTCATACTTGAAAACAAAAATACATTGATGAATCATAAAATAGATAAACAATACAAGTCTATTAAAATTTTCACTAAAAAAAACTCATAATCAAACATTATATAGATAAATATTATTAAGAATCAAATTATATATCTATATCTACCATAAAGATAATCGTAACTATATATAAATTTCTAGTAATTTTTCTCTCTATAAAAAAAGTCTTTCCCCTTTTCAGAATACCCACGGTAAGCATCATGCTCTCAGAAGTGGATACAGAATGAAGAAACACAACAATGACTATTATAATATCATTGATTGATCCGAGTTTAAAAACTCCAAATATATTGAAATTAGAAATCAATCAACAAATGCATTAGCTTAGAAAAATAGGAGATAAACTCACTAAAATCCAACTCAAAAGAGAAAGTTGAAATCATATACAAATCTATTATAATAAATAAAGATTATTTTTGTAAAATGGTACATTGGCATTAAATTTGAGACATGTTATTTTTAAGAAATTTATAATTTTTTTTTCCACTTGTCAATTTATAGTGTTTTCTATTTTCATTTAATTGCCACATCACTATATTTATTATGGAAATAATGCCAATTGTAATTCTGTTAATTCCTTATTTAGTTTGCTAAATGCCAATTTTATTTTCAGAAGTTTATGCTTTTTAACTACAACCATAAATATATTAAGCTAAAATCAAGCTATGAATATCTTTCATGATAATAGTTATTCCATTTTTTAATTATACCCCAATGTATTTTTTTCATACAAAATCTGCTATTAATTGTCCGTGTGTGTAATCATCATGAAATGATATTGTTAATAATATATGATCCTATAGGGTCACACCTTTATCAAGTTGGCACATTTTATATATTTATTATAAATATGATTATTAATATATATATATATATTATATATATATATATAATATATAAGATTGTTGAATCTATATGTCCAAAAATCATTATGGAATGATATTGTTAATAATATATGATTCTATAGGGTCACACCTTTATCAAGTTGGCACATTTTATATATTTATTATAAATATGATTATTAATAAATAATATCAATTCTTGTATTTAATTAGGGAATAATTATTGTTTTGTGAATATAATAATTATAAAAGAGTATAACTAGTTATTACTTCATATGGTATGAATTAATAAGTCATGCACGACATTTTGGACTAGTTGGATTCTTTTGTCTTTTATCTAAAGACAAAGTTTATATTTTATAAACTTAGAGTTTATAAAAATTAAAGAATTCATCCTCTTTTGAGAGGTATGACCAAAATTAATAAAATAACATGGATGTTACTTGTCAACCTCCATGCTTTGTCTCCCATGCTTCTAAAGGCTACAAATACTTTAGAGTATTTTAATGGTTATGCCTTACTTTGGATGGACTATATAAGAGATGCATGAGGCTTGCAATTTTGCCAAGAAAAACTCTCTCTTCTTCCTCTTTATTCTTCACCAAAACTGTGGGCATGAAAGAGCTTGGAACTCTCACTCTTTTGAAGTTGCTCCTTGGCTTTTGGTGCTTACATTGTGTCTTCCTTTAGTGCTTATTTGTTAAGTACTCAAAGGCTTAGAGAACAAAGTAATACAAGAAGGAACTAGCATTCCAAGTGTCTTTATCTTGATGGTGGATACTTGTAGAGAAAATCATACTCTTTGATTTTTCTATCTTCATAAACACCCCAAAACCAAGTGGGTTCAAAGGCTTCAAATGTTATCATTCTAAAAACTCTTTGGTTATTTTAAAGTCTTCCGTTGCCGTTTTTTTTATGAAAAACGAACTTATATTTTGTATCAAATCCCATCAGTGGCATCAGAGCCATCTTTTATATTTTAGAATGATTTTTTATGTTTGATAATCTTGATTTTTGGAAAACAAGCATGAATTTCTTTTGGTTAAGAAAAATCCATATTTGTCTTCTTTGGCAACTTCTTGGTTAAAATTATTTTTTATATATAACCATTTTTCATGCATTTTGGTTATATAAAAGTTGTCTTATAGAAAACAAAGAGTTGTTTGTTATAATATTTGATATGTTGTTGTGTATAAACAAGCCATTTGGACCTTTATGTTGTGTTTGATTGATATCTATTTATTCATAAGATGTAATAGATAAATATGTAATTTTTCATTTGTTGATTTGTTGTAATAAATTAGTTAGACTAATTGTATTTCTTTTTAAATATAACAAGATGAAGAAATGACCTCCTTGAAGATGACTTAACCATTTAAGACCATAATCCCAACCATAAACTTCTACTTTTGGTTTTGGGCTTAATTATAGTCTTAATGGTTTAAGTGTTGCAACTTTCACAACATGACGATTTGAAGTCCTTTTGCAAGCAAGAGTTGACTTGGCAAGTGGGAGCTTGAAGACCTTTTTAAGTGTCCCTTAAATCCTTTAGGAAAGACTTAATAATTCTTTTGATGGCTCCCAAAAATTATTACTAGACATGGTTTGGTTTATACACATTATAATGCATTCATGTGATGTTTATTTTTATGTTATTGTATGTTACGTTTTGTGTATAAAAATGAGTTTTACATGTCAAACAAAATTTTAGCATAAAATAATCACTTAGAGTTTGAGTAAAAAATATTTAAAAGTTAACATAAGATGTTTATAATTGGATATTTATAAAAACGTTTTTACCGGTTAAAAATCGATTTTTTCGTTGAAAATTGTTTTATTGTAAAACTTATAAATAACCAACTTTAAAATATTTGAAATGGTTTAAAAGGTGTTTAAACATTATATAAACTTCATGTCTTTATAATAAATAAGAGTTTTATTAAAAGGACTAAAATCCGTTTATAACGTTATAACGGCAAATAATAAAACTAGTGATTATTTTTTGCGTCAAAACTTAATATACGATATTGGTGTTTTAAACATAACGCGACATGTTGATATTATGTTTTATGCTCGCTAAATGAGATTTAAAACATAAGTATCATCATCCAAGTTTTGGTTTATCAAAATATGACTTTTATCATAACATGCATAAAATTGAGTTTATAAAATAAAATGAGTTTATTTTACAAATTCATGAAGTCATAATATTTTGATTGTTAAAAGGAGAGTTTTAAAATAGTGATTTTATAACTCATCTAAAACTTCAAGTATTAAATATAAAATGAAGTTTTATTAAGACTATTACCGGTTCTTAAAACTGATCTACGACTAGACTTTAAAATATGGATTTTAGTTTATAATTGATCGCGGCTAATGGCAAATAAAATGAAGTTTTATTTGTAACCTAAAGAACCTCATAACAAGTGATATGAATTTTACAAAATGGTACATAAATTGTTGGATTGCATGCAATATTCATGAGACCATGTTTTTATAAACTATAATTGTAAAACATATATAAAACCTTTTCTAAAAATGCAAGTCATTGCCGTCCTTTTTAAGAACACTCATTATCATTTGTATGGTCTTAGTGTTACAGGGTCACCCACTAGGATTGGATTATGATGTTCGGGGTAGTTTTATAGTTTATGGTTTCTAAATGGTCACCATGTCACTGGTTAGTTACAATACTACAAATTGTTTCAAGTACGATGACTTTGATTGGAATCTTGTGTGATAAAGGTCACCTAAGCATGAGAGGTCCATGTAACGCCCGTAGATCCGGGCTAGACAATTTAGAGACGATAAGCGTCAAAAATGACTTTTGATAAAAGATTATTTAGAATGAATAATCTTATCTAAGTTATGGTGGTCGTGGCAAGGTTTCCGAAAATATAAAGAATGCCGAAATCCGAGTTATAACGAAGAAGTTATGACCTGTCGAAGTTTCGCGACAGAACCGGCACGACACAGCGCGACGTAAATAGTGAATTTACGATAGAGCGATATTTAGCCTTAGTGATCTAAACGAAAGTCGTAGAGTTCGTTAAACCGAGAGCGTGCATAAAAAGAACGTCCAAATCTGACTTCGTATGAGGAAGTTATGATTTTTCTAAGTTTCAGCTTAGCAGTATGCAGCCCGAAGTTCGGATTTGAGATCGAGTGATTTCTAGCCGAAACAATCTAAACGAGAATCGAAGATCTCGTCGATAATAGTACAACAGTAAAAAGACAGACGAAAACGGACGTCAGATGAGGAAGTTATGAATTTCTAACGAAGTTTTCCTGTCCCGGCCTATTAAAAATATATTATTAAAAATAAAGTCAGAATTAGCCGATGAAGTCTAAACGAAAGTTGTAGAGCATAGTCTCACCTACGCGTGGATATAAAGAACGTCAAAAACGGAGATCATACGCGAAAAGTTACGGATTTTAAAAGTTTTGGGCTCAAATCTCGAGAATCGGTCCGAAATGAAC